AAAGGTATGAATTGGTACCTTCCAACCTTAGAATGATTGAGGCAGAATCTCCACCCTGGTTATCCCTCCTTTTCTGAGATCCTGGAATCAATTTTCATCAAAGAAAAGGAACATAACAAACCCAGGCAACCAGACCATTGGCCCATCATTGGCTTGGAGCTGATCCTTTTCCAACACGGTTACTGAGAGCTTTGTTTGCAGCATTATATATTGTAGCTCCTTTACTGTGGTTGAATTTTTAGGAGATGGGTGAATGGATTTCTTGCTTCTGAATCTCAGTCTCTCTCCTTTTAGGCCATTTCCCTACATTAGATTTTCACTGATCACTTGATGTTTAGATTGTGGTTTTAGCATCCTACTTGCCTTCCTCCCTACCTGTTTTCTCAGTAAGAGACATTCATTTCTATTAGACTGATGCAAAAGTAATTGTGGTTAATGGTAAAAACTGCGATTCCTTTTGCACCAATCTAATAAATGAACCTCCTGCGTCTTCATTCCAACTCTCCTGACCCTGTTGTCTTTTGTGATAATTGACTTCCTAAAAGAAAGAAGCAGAAACTTCTGGACCAGTTAAGGACTATGCTTGAAAATAACTCAAGGGTAATTTCTACTGCATTTGTTTTGGTCAAAGCGATCACAGGCCCTTCTAGATTTAAGAGATTGTAGAAATAAACCCCATGTGTTGATGAAGGAGTATCAAGATCACACTGGAGAAGAGCATGTAGGATAAGGGATATCATCATGACCATCTTTGAAAAATACAATTTGCCACAATCGTCAAGGCAAAATTAATCTTTTTCATGTGTGTTTTCTAGGACCTCACTTATTCTTTTCGTTCTTTACATTGATTTTTACCTGTGAGCCCAGAAGTATTTTGCAAGGGGTCTGTGAAATAACATGCATACAAAATTTTGAGTAAGTAGGATAAAATAATATGACTTAAACACATAATTATTTTTAAAGTATATGTAGATGATTTGTGACGAAATTTATTATATATTTTTAAATAATACATGTTAGAAATTCAAATAATATAAAAGAATCTGCAAATTTTTAATGTAAGAAGTGGGCCTCCATACTCAAACGTGGTTCATTAAGCATTGATACGTTTATATGTTTGTCTCTTTTTACTAAATAGGGTGTTTACTGGGCACAAGGACTTATCCTGGTAACCTTTGACTCCCTAAAATTTAGCAGATTAAGTTATATTTAGTAGGTGCTCAATAAATTTTGGCTTCACTTGGTTACAAACTTTACTTAAAAATGTAATCTCTACCATTATTTTTACACTGAACAAATACATATAAAGCACTTACTATGTTACAAACACAATGGTAGATGCTAGGAATAAAATGGTGAGCAAAATCTGTTGATAGCTTAAAAGGATAGACAGATATTGATTACAGAAGCACTCTAAAGATGTAAATTTTCCGTTGTGGTAAGCTCTTTGTATTAGTATGCTAGGCTTGCCAAAATGAATTACCACAAACCGGGTAGCTCAAGAAACAGAAATGTATTGTCTCACAGTTCTGGTGCTAGAAGTCCAAAATCAAGGTGTCGGCAGGGTTGGTTCCTTCCGAGAGCTATGAGGGAAAGATCTGTTCCAGGTCCCTCTCCATGGCTTGTAGATGGAAGTCTTCTCTCTGTGTCTCTTCACATCATCTTTCCTCAATGCATGTCTGATTCCCCTTTTCATAAAGACACAAGTCATATTGGACTAAGGCCCACCCTAATGATATCATCTTAACTTGATTACATATATTAGGATCCTATCTCCAAATAATGTCACATTCTTACAGTACTGGGGGTTAGGACTTGAACATATGAAGTTGGAAGGATGCAATTTACCCCAAAGATAAAGTTCAAAGCACTGTGAGAACTCATAGTTGTGAGATTTGAGGTAGGGTGGCCCAGGAAGTCTTTTTTTAGGGAGTGAAACTGAGTGGAGACCTAGAGGATGAATGGAAGTTTACTATGTAAAGAGGAAAGATAACATTTCTGGCCATGGATATAATACACGCTAAACCCCTCAGTGAGGGGCAGTATGGTGAATACAATGGCTAAAAGAAAGATAGCAAGGCTGGGGCAGAAGGGTGACATGATTAGATTTGTATATTTTAAAACATGGGGAAAACCTGAGGCCTATGGTGATGTCATTTTTTTTCCAGAGAGGATTTATGTTTGTTTCTTTTGGGTGGCTGTGATTACCAGTAATCAAAAATTCATGCAATCTGATCAGGACTAGAGATGATTTCCAGACAGGCCCTTGGACTACTGGTTTCCTTCCAGTTTGTCCTTCTCCTGGGATGTACCTGTTTAGGGTCCTGATCTAAAAACTAAGGGGTTTATCAGAACCTGCCCTCCTGAGCAAGGGGTATGGGAGTGTCCCAGACTCCAAATATTGTACTTCTAGTTTCATGAGTCTGTCAAAAATTCTACTGAAGTCCTCAGCCTCTCTTGCATTCGTAGATGCCTATAGGCATGGCTCCAAATGCCAAGTTCATCTCTCTGCATCTCCTTTTCCTCTCAGTAGAGGTATTAGTTCAAATGACCTATTACACCATCACCCTAAATGACTGCTTGTGGAAAATAAATTGGAAAGAGGCAAGATGAATGCTGGTAGAATCACAGAAAATTTGATATTAGTCAAGCATAATGATTCCAATAACTAGAGGCAGAAAGGTGAAAATGAAAAGAGATGAGTAGATGGAAAAACATTTTTAGGTAGAATTGGCAGAACTGGGAGTGGAGTATCAAGGAGAGATGGTGACTCCTAGCTTTCTAGTTTGTGCAACTGGATGGATGGCATATCATTCACTCACATAGGGAATATGTGGAGAGAACTGATGAGATGGGAGGGGATGATTGCAAGTTTCAATTCGGATCTGTTGATTTTGAGGTGCTTTGAGATATACCACAAGCTATATCACTTAAATATTTGTATGCATGAGCTCGAAAAACAGATCTGGATAGGAGATATAAATTTTCATATCATCATGGATGGAGAAGACAGACTTGGATGGAGATTTGAGAAACTCCAATATTTGTCTGTCTTTGCAATGGTGAAAGAGGAAAAGTGGGACTGGCCAGAGATGTATGAAGAAAACCAGAAAATGAGAGAAGGTTAGTGTTTCCAGAAGGTCTAGTTAACAGTATTGATTACTGTTGAAAATTCAAGTATGATAATTATATACAGATGACTTTACCAAATATAAGTTGCTAGTGATGAGGTAATAAACTACGACAACCTATATAAAGCTACTGGGAAGACAACACTATAAAACTTTAAGAAGACAATAGATCAGAAAAAATTCTTTATGATCTCAGAATAGGCAAAGATCTCTTGAACAAGACATTTGTAATTGCATTAAAAATAAAATGACAATTGTAATTGCATTAATAATAAAAGATGGATGAATATGGTTACATTAAAATAAACAGCTTCTCATCCTCAAAATAGACTATAGCATTTAAGAAGCAAGGCACAGAATGGAAGAAGATATTTTTCATGTTTAAAAATGACAAAGACTGTATATTCAGACTCTATGAACAACTAAAAAAAGAAAAGAAAAAAGAAAAAGAAAGAAAAGAAAAAAGATAGGCAATCCAGTAGAAAATGGGCAAAAGACCTAAACAGATGCTTGGTAAAAGAGGAGATCCAAACAGCCGATCAATATACGAAAAAGTGCTCACTGCACTCCAGCCTCAGTGACAGAGCGAAACTCTGTCTCAAAACAAAACAAAAGTGCTCAACTTCTTTAGTAATTAAGCATATGTAAATTAAAACTACATTCCTCTCCGACTTACCAGGTTGCACCCTCCCACTCCACAATAATGAAAAGTTTGAGAACATCAAGTGCTGGCAAAGATAAATTCTGAGAAGCTGCTGGTGGGAAAACACATTACGAACAAATTTTGAAACAGTTTGGCATCATAAAAGTAAAGGCACATAAACTTTTGACCGGATATTCCATTTCCATGCATAGAACCCTCGAAAAAAATATCATCATATATGTACCAGAATTCCTGCACACAAAAAAATGTTCTTTGAAGCATTGTTAACATATTCCCAGACCAGAAACAACTGAAGTGTCCTTTGACAGTAGAATGGATGATCTGTGATCTTTCATGTAATGAAGAATCATACGGTAATAAAAAAAATGGATGACCTTAAGTTTACATGTAATCATGTAAATGAATCCCATAATGTTGCCTTAAAGAAGCAAGATGCAAAAACAAACCACACACACACACACACACACACACACACACACACACACACGGTAATTCTAACTATATGGTTAAAAAATGGGTAAATGGCTGAGCACAGTGGCTCATGCCTATAATTCTAGCACTTTCAGAGGCCAAGGTGGGAGAATCACTTGAGCCCACAAGTTTGAGACCAGCCTGGGCAGTATAGTGAGACCCCATTTCTAAAAAAAAAACTTTAAAAAATTTTAATGGGTAAAATTAAAGTATATTGCTTAGAAATATGTACACCTAAAGGCTAAAATAAAGGCTAAAATATAAAAAAGCAAGAATGGGTTATTACAAAAGTCAGAATAATATTTACCTCTTTGTGAGAGGAAGGGGACTATAACTGGGGAGGAGGTGGGGGGAGTTTTGGAGGAATGACGCTATTCTACTTTTTGACCAGAGTAGTGGTTATAACGGATGTAAGGTTATAAAGAATTGCTTTCTAATTATTCTGTAAGCTATATATGTTTTATGTTCTTTCTGTTTGAAAATTATCTCACTATAAAAAAGTAAAAAAAAAAAAAAGACTTCTAAAATTGTATTACTTAATCTTGAATAAATATTGCTATTTTTGCCACTGATGCTTTTCAGCAGAAATTGAGTAAATCAATGTGATAAATGAGGCTAGTAAAATATGACCACACATGATGTGAGGCTAGTAAAATATAGCCTCATTTTGCTGCTAAAAATTCCCTATATTTGTGGAATCAGATAAATATTTAATTTTTTTTGTTAATTTCTAGGTCGGCTCATTACAAGCATGCTTTCTTGCAAAGAGGAATTTCCAGATTGATGTATATGAAGCTAGGGAAGGTACGTCCATAGTGAAAAATGCAGGATGAAGGCTTGGCATGGTGGCTCCTGGCACTGTGGGAGGCCAGGGCAGGTGGATCGCTTGAGGCCAGGAGTTTGAGACCAGCCTGGGCAACACGGCAAAACTCCATCTCTACAAAAAATACAATAATTAGCTTGGTGTGGTGGTGTGTGGTAGGAGGATTGCTTGAACCCAGGAGGCAGAGGTTGCAATGAGGCAAGATTGCGCCACTGTGCTCCAGCGTGGCGGAAGGAAGGAAGGAAGGAAATAAGAAAGGGAAAGAAGGAAGGAAGGAAGGAAGGAAGGAAGGAAGGAAGGAAGGAAGAAAGAAAGAATGGAAGGAGGGAAGGAAGGAAGGAAGGGAGAGAAAGAATTAATTGCAGGATGTGGTTCTAATTCTTTGACTTATTTTTCTTTAGATTTTCTGAACTTAAAAAGTTTCTTTAATAAAACAATTTTTTTAGAAAAACTAGTTTTTTTAAAAAAAAAACCAACTATCTAAATTTAATTTAATATAAATTTACTGCTGTTAGCATTTTCTTTAGAAGAATTAAGAAGGTCTTTAATTTGGTTCTGAATGAACCAATTGTTCAGGTGCGGTAATTTTGCTTATCCTGGACTAGGATATAAAGAGTGTATAACATGGAGTCTGCTTCCAATGTCTCAGATCCTCGAGTGGCTGACTTCACACGTGGAAGAAGCATTAACTTAGCCCTTTCTCATAGAGGACGACAAGCCTTGAAAGCTGTTGGCCTGGAAGATCAGGTACTTAATGTATCTTTCTTATAGAAGATAATACCTGGTATTTTTCAACAATTGCGTGGATTTGATTTCATCCTGGCTTAAAAAGTACCATTTAATACCAAGAATCTCTGCATGAAAACTCATTCTACTAAAGCTTTTAATATTTGAAATTTGGCAAGAGGGTGAACATTGGACACTTGAGGCACCCGAGAGGGCCCCTGCAACCGGATGATTGCTTCCGATACTGAATTCTCAACAGGATGGTGCATCAATGCCTGTAGAAAGTGAGAGTCAAGATGGCATCCAGGATAAGAGGAGCCAAATTCCTTTTTTTTCCCAATTGCACAGGCCCATAATCTCTTATCCACAATTTTACACTCCAAAAAACTCTGAAAACAGAAAGCTTCTCATCACTCATTGAGTGGCAAAACCTGACCTGACATGAGACTCTTTGTAGTCTTTTAAAAATCTCATTTAGCATAAATATGTTTTGCTACAGAAATTTTGTGTTTGATTATGGGATGGGTTTATGTGATATCAGCATATGGGTACTACACTACTTTTTAAAATTGAAAAATTCTGAATTCTGAAACCATGAAGCCCCATGGGTTTGGATAAAGAATGGTGGGCCTATAGCAGATTTTCATCATATGAGCTTAATGTTGTAGACCTTTTCACTGTCTACGTGTAGCTTGGTAATATAAACAGATGTGATAATATGTATTTTTCTTGATACTACTTTCAGTGACAATGTGTCTTTGAGCTGATAATACAAGTAAATATGAGTGTTATTTGCATTCCTATTATTTTCTCCCAGATAGCAGCAGCCATGTGTAAGAAAACACTTTGCATTGAATGTTAGAAGCCCTGGGTTTTACTCCTTATAATCTCCCTTTTTGTCATGATGGGAAAATCACTTAACCTCTGTAACAACAAATCACTTTCCTCAATCTGTGATATTTGATTTAGATCAGATAAATTTTAAGCCAGTTCTAAGATCTAAGATTAAAAAAAAAACTAAAAGCTTCATGGTCACCATTTTCATTGAAGGAGTTTCTACCACGTTGGGCTTCTATGGCCTTTCACAATTTTTAAAATGTCTTGGAGAATACTTGAAATTACATTTAAAAATCAACTTCTATCTTTCTCGCATAATGCCATGTTACTGTCAGTGAACTCAATATTTCTGGTTTCATTTCAGATTGTATCCCAAGGTATTCCCATGAGAGCAAGAATGATCCACTCTCTTTCAGGAAAAAAGTCTGCAGTTCCCTATGGGACAAAGTCTCAGGTAGGTTTACCCCAGAGATCATTGTTCGTGCACTGATTATAAGGAAGTCAACGTCTGGAACTTGCCTCTTGCTTGATGGCCCCTCTCTCTCCAGTCCTATCTCTTACATTGCTTGGCTTAGTCTAGACCCCAGGAATACAATACTAGTTAGCAAGTTTATTCAGAGGAGATGCTCAAAACAAGCCCCAGATCAGAATAAACATTCAAAAAGAATTAGCTGTTACTGTTCTTATTGTGCCGTTTCTTGCCTTTGTGCTGCCCTGCTACCTGGGACACCCTTTCCCTCTTTTCTCCTTTTCAATTAGATGGAGAAGATGACTATCTTATTTGTCGTCAAACATAATGTACAAGAACAATCTAGAAGCTTTCATGATGTTGTTGCCCTTCCCTAACTCACCCTCTTGCTCAAAATTGGGCTTATAATATATAGAATGATCCAGAAATGCTTTCGGTACTACACGATTTCTGAAACAACAGAGGCCAGATGAAGATGGAGAGTTTATGAAAGCAGACTTATTATCCTGCTGTGTGCTTTCCTTATCTTTCACACAGTAACATACAGAACAGGGGGAAATCTGTATTTCATCTAATTGGACCTTCTGATTCTGTTCTTGAGAGATAATGAATGCACCAAACATCCATCGACAAGAGAAAAACTCCAACTTGCTTTATTTTTATCCAGCTATGCCTCCTTTTATGAAGTGCAGAGTCTGAGTGAGATTCATATTCTTCTAAGTCTCTGACCCTCAGCAGAGCTCTCATTGAAAGTAGACCTGTGCTTTTCAAACTCACCTGGGATCCTGTTAAAATGCAGAGTCTGACTCATTAGGACTAGGGTGGAGGCGGAAGTTCTACAATTCTAACCAGTTTCCGGGTGTTTATTTGTTTCACTGAGTTGAGAGTGAAATCAACGCAATCCTCTCACTGTTCACTTGTATTAACAAGGAACGTCCGGAGGAAGGCCAAGTCACCATAGCAGTCCCCGCTTCAGAGACTGAACCGGTAATGTATCCATAGATAAGATACGGTTCAGGTATCAGAAAAGCTAAATGAGGAGAGGGACTTGGACCTGACACCATCACCCCCACCACCGTGTCTCTGTGTGTGTGTGTGTGTGTGAGCGAGAGAGACAGCGTGCATACATTCCCCAAGAGAGTGAACGTGTTGGTGTGAGTTCCCATTTTGCGGCCTTCAATGCATTACAAGGAGGAAACGGCCCCTCCCGCATCATTCCTGCTACTTCTCAATTTTTAAGAATTGAGTTTATGCAAAATTTACAGGGGCCCCACATACTTCAGTTTTTCTTTATCGTCACTTTTATATTGTTATGCCTAGACCGTTTATTCCCTGAAGAAGACCACCAGAGTCCAGAGTCAAAGCTAAGCAGCAAGGATCTTTATTACAGGTTCGAACCTGGAACTCTCCCTCGCTCGCGAAACGAGATGGGCAGGAGAGCTCCTTCACTGAGCTCCGAGCAGTGTTATATAGTCTAAGAAAAGTGGGCATAGAGTTATTATACAAATCAGATATATGATTGGCTAGTGTTTGAACAAGGCGATTTGGCTAACTATGATTGGTTCCCGCCATTTCTGATATTTCGGTTCAATTGCTTTATTCATTTCTAAGCTTCTTGTTAGTTTGGTAGCGTGTTGGAATTTGTTCTTAAGCGTAACCCTGGGATGACTCATTATTATATTAGAAACCAGCATTCTTCTTTTGAGGAAGCATACAGGTACCATCCTTTCTCAGCCGTGCAGTAGATCTAAGGCTCTCGGTTTTAAGAGAGGGTGACCTGTGCTTAGGAGGTGAGTGCCGCTGCAAGGAGGCTAGGGAATAGGCGTTTTTAGTCTTTTTTATTCCATAGCAACAGGAGATTGTTTGGTAACAGCTGTTGTTTTCTTATCATGGAGTAGTTGTAGGCCCCCGATCTAACCCCGGCTGCGACGACATGAGGAGTGGGTTAAGGATATTCCTGGCAATTAGTAGGTAGAAAAAGCTGCATCGTTATTTGTCTCTGTTTCTCTTTTTGTTTTGTTTTGGTGGTCCTCTTTTGTTGTTTTTGTCCCTGCCCAGCCTATGAACTCGCCGGTGATGGTTAGCAGCATGTCGTCGGAACTAGAGTAAACAGGATACACAAACTGTCCGTCAGAGATGCTTTGTGGACAGAAGTCGTTTACAGATATATTACGACCAGAAGAAACACACCAGGGGGAGGCAATGTATGGGACTATTTAGGGTATGTAGTCGATTGGTTATATCAGGGCTGTTCGCGTAAATGCCAAATAACAGTAGGTGAGATATTTCATCTGGTATGGTCACTGGCCACATCGGAGTATCAGTGACTAATTGAGACGACGTTTTTTACTTTTTTTTTTTTTTCTTTTTTTATAGTTGTTTAAATATCTTGTATTAGTATTGTGGGTTAGGGATTGATGTTTTTAGTTATAGAGGAGAGAGTTTTATGTTAATGGTGGTTCTATTCCTAGGTTGGTTTGCACCTATATATGTCTATAGTATGTACAGGCAGTCCTTTTATAATTATCCTGATGTGAAAGTTTGGCGATATGCTAGCCTTCTCATGTTAGATAGTATGTGTTGTTTATCAGGTTTTTTTTGATGGACTGAAGGGTCTTGACATAGTCTTGTTGTGATTTGCTAAGCTTGTGTTTTTCTTTGCCTATTTTTATATTTTTTGTGTTATGGTTATTTTAAAGGTTGTGGATCGTGACTTAGTACATCCTCCCACAGAATTTATAATAAAATTGGATGATTTACTTACTGGTCCTATTTATTTGTACTATGTTTGTTTTTTTTGTGTTGTTTCATGTATGTTAGTATACATCTCTTATTTGTTGTTTATGGGTTTGTCCATCCCTGTAGTTTTTATTGTTCTTCATGTTGGTCTTTAATTTATTAAGGTTGTATTAGTGACGTGTGTTTTATGAGACTCAGTTCTGGTTATAAGATAATTTACTATCTCTTTTCCGTGTCCTCCAGTATTCGAGCAGAGTGTGTCTATACTTAGTAGCTATATGGGAAACCTGCATCTGGTGGCACCAACATAATTTTTATTACAATTAATTTATCCATATTTGGTTGATTCTATCTAGTTCAAAAAGGACGTTATGGGTATTTGCTGTGTCTTGTTCTGGCAAGTCTGGGAATCCTTTATTGTGAAATTCGAGGTAATTTTTTATATTAGTATCTACACTTTTGAGTGTGTGTTTTTAATTGATACTTTTTCTTTTTGTTTAATTGTTGTGTGGCAGTCTGCACTTTATGCCTTTTTTAGTTCAGTGTTATTTACTCTGTGCTCATGGGGTGTGTTTTTTCTCTCTTAGGTTCTTTTCGATATGATTGTTTGTTTTTCATATGAGTCCTAATGTATATCTCGTTACAGTATATGGGATTTAGGATATGTCGCTTAGCAGTGTGTTGGTATGAGTTCAGAGTAATGTGTTCATTAAATTAGCATTAGAGTGAGTCTAACATATGGTTATCTTTGGCATAATTTGGGTATTTATTTTTATATTTTGTATGTCAACAGTGGCGCAGAGTATTTATAGTCTGATTAAGGGTATTGTTTTTATGGTAGCTTTTCTACTTTTTATTTTAGTTCCTCATTGAATAACTTGGTGACTCAGACGGTTTTATCCTTTTTTGACGGATAGGTTTTTTCGGAAACATGATGTCTGTGTCGCATCTGTGTTTTGGTGATCGTGTAAGTGTAATGTGTCGGATCACGAGCGATGCCTTCTACTTACTGAGAGCTTTTTTTTGGTGGAGAGTAAGTCAGGAGTATCTTGCATTAAGTTGGTCCTTTCTACCTGGGGTTTGGAGAGTTTTTCTGCCGTATGTTTGGCGCTTGACCATAGGACTCTTAGTCTTCTGGCTTGTGAACGGATGATTTTAGCATTGTCTGGGCGAGATTGGTTCTTGCATGCGTACTTAGTTTCTCGTTCTTAGGTCTGGTCCAAATTTTCTGAGTGAATTTTCTGTAATTGTGTCTTATCTGCCGTGTTGTGTGTTATCTGGCGGCG